GGGAGCACGGTCGCTCAGACTTTATTAGCAAAACCATGGGCCAAGTCACCTGTCAGGTATTGGGATGCAGGCCTGAAGAAGGCATGGTTCTGCCCTCCCGAGGCCAGGGAGTAGCTGGAGAGACTACCAGAGAATCCATCTGCTGATAAAGCGAAATGCTAAGAGCATTTTATGGTACGAATAAAGAGCCACAGCTTCCTACATCCAGAAGGGGACTCCATGGGTTTTCTCAAGTATCAAAACCACATTATTCTCTGCTATTCCACGGAACTGTTACATCAAAATGCCACTTCAATCTTGTACATTTCTCAGGCCTTTTATTTTTAACTCATCCCCCAAAAAACCATTGTGCAGTGGCAAAGCCTATAGTCTAGATAGATGACAGAAGGTATAATTCAGCCTCTAATACTCACCAGATGATCCCAAGGAAATAATTCACTTTACTAGTTGTTGCCTTATTTGGGGAATCTATGAGAACATGAAATGCATTCATCAACATTGCCAAGCCCCACGCTGACGCTTAGTGAAGGTCTCTAACTAACGACACCTACACAGCTGGACATCTCCGGTGGACTGCTCCTCACCACTTCCTCAGCTTTCCCATCAGAGGAGTTGGGTCCCACCGCACTGGGAGAGGGGGCGCTCAGTATCAAGTATTCCCCAGTATGAAGAGAGGGCGCTCTCTACATACTGGGGAAATCCTACTAGAGATTATATTTGTGGATTTTCTTTTTGTCTTCTTTAGTGAAAGAGATGACAAGAGAATCATCTTAAAGTTATTGAAGTTAGAATGTTTCTAAACGATGAGTCCAGTTTGCTCTTGTATGAACAAACTTGGGAGAAAACAGATATTCATGGATTCTTTATGTGGATATTCATCACCGTTTGTGAATGGGCAGACTCTCCCTCGGCTGTTGACTACTTCCTTGTCCAAGTCCGGCCTTTTCAGTTGGGTCCAAGGCCCTGGAGTGAGAAGTCCACACCTCATACCATTTCACACCCCAACACCCAGCTCAGTTCCCTTCATGTAAGAACCACTCGATAAATCTTTGTTGGTTGACTACAGTTGCATTTTAAACTAAAATGACAGAGAAATGTGGTAAAGAGATAAATTGAACATAGGCTGGGGGATATTTTGGTTTTTTTTTCATTCATTTCATCAGTTCAGTAAACATTTGGGAGCACACAGTGCTCACGGCATTACAAGGCATGATCCCTGTTTTCCAAGAGCTTACTGCTCCCCAGTCCACATGGAGAAAGAAGACAGTGTTAAACAAGGTTACAAGACAGGGCTAAGCCAAAATGAGTGGAAGAGATACTACGTACCAGCAAGGAATTAGGAGAACACAGAATTCAGAGGGAAAGATTGGTGTGTGAAGTCAAGGAGCAAAGTCCCGAGTCAGCATCCCAGCTCTGTCACATGCTACTTGTGTGATTTTAGTTAAATTTCCCTCTCTGGGCCTCAGCTTTCTCATTTATGCAATGGGGACAATTAAGTCTATTTCAGAATTGTTGTGATGATTAAAAGTTACTACATATACAAAATTTTTAACACAGTAACTGACCAGTAATTGATAGTACTATTCATCTTATTAATATTATTATTACTAGGTCCTCATAATCTGGCTTCAAAACTTCCTAGCTGTGCAATCTTAATCAAATGATGCAAACTCTCCATGCCTCAGTTTCCTCATCCGTAAAATGGGGATAATAGTGGCACCTACTTCATAGTGTTTTTATTAGGGTTAAATGTTAATGTTATGATGTTCGATGATGAATGAGATATTATATAAAACACTTAGAACACTCCCTAACACATAGTGAGCGCTCAATAAACCTTGGTTAATATTATTATTACTGCACATTCTGTTTTATGTAACCTCACCCTTTTTAAAAAATATGCATACAGACTATCAGCAGGAGGGCAGAAAGAGTAGGACATTGCAAATTGTTTGCAATTCTTTTCAGGCTGTCAATGCCGTGTTAGGTGAAAGGTTTCCCAACACTTCCACAAGGATCTTTGGTACTAACTGAATGAAATAAAACATTTAAAAAAGTTTCCACACATTAGAATCTGCTGCTGAAAAAGTGTTCATTCTTCGGGGACTGGAAAAGACCCTCAAAAATGAAACTGGTGAGAACAAAGCAGAATAAAATGAAATTAGAGCAAAAAGTCCTCTGCTGGTTGAGAAGAAAACTACAAGCATCATCCTCATCATCACCGACGGTGATGTGGACAGGGTGGCTCTCCAGGGTAGGGCAGAGGCGCTCAGGGCCTCTCTAGCTATGGTTCTATGTAGCTTGCTCACATGCTGAACAAAAAAAGAATGAAGAAAAGAAGGAAGGAAGAAAGGAGGGAGGGAGTGACTGAGGGAAGGGAGAAAACGCAAAGAAGAGACCCACATACACACAATAAAAAGCAAAAGTAAAATAACCCCAATCCCTGAACCCCCGGGTTGTTGCAACCCGGCGTCAGGTGATGTGCAAACTTAGAAACTTGTATGCAAACAAAATACATTCTGAAATTCATACTTGCTTCTCTGCACACAGAATTATAAAATGCAGAGCCAGTGTTTGACAGTTCAAGGGTTTCCACTCCACAAAAGTCTACCCCAACATGCATTAGAGCCTGTGAAGAATGAAGGTCATCCTGAAGAGGCATGAGCATCCTCTGTGCAGACTGTCTGATACACCTGCTGCCCAATTCACATCCTAAATCAGGCCCACAGCCAACAGGTCAAGCAGATCCTAGCTCCTCTAATCCCTGCTCTGGAGGGCTCCATCCACTGGGAGGGTTTTCCTCCTGCGTGTCAGGAAGACATTCAGCCCCAAGGACTGGCAAGAATGTCAGGAGATGTTCCAGGAGGACCTTTTTATGACACGGCTGGGTTGGGTCTAGGGAGGAGGTCCCATCATATCCCATGTCCTCCATCTACACCCACACAAGACCAGTGAGTCTAGAGCATACGTGAAAATGCAAACAAACATTAGTGACCAAAAGAGACAAGGAGAGCGACCCTACAGTGAGAAAGAGGTATGAAAGGAAGGACAAAGAAAGAGAAGCCAGCCAGTACATGATAATGTGACTTTAAAGGAAATCTGCTCCTAGGCCCATCCCCTGGCTGAGCATCTGCTAAATTCAGCCACTCTCTAGAGACTCCTGGTTCTCATGGGCCTGGGGGGCTGCCTTCTAGAGACCATATCCTGGCCGGTTCAACCCCCATCATTGTTCCTATCATATGGGAGCTACTTCTGTTTATCTTTGCTATTTCTTTATCTCCAAATCTCTACAAAGCTGACTACCTTCTACCCTCTTTTTAAAAATACCACCCCATTTGTTTCTAAAATGTTCTCCATGTGAGAATGTCTAGTTTATCTCCTGGAGGCTACTCCTTGTAGTCAAAAGTTAGGGACAAAGGGGGCATCCAGAGAACCCTAAGTGCCATCCACTATATTGCTTTAGAAGGTCATTTTTGTTTTTCTCTTTAATAGTCTGAAATCATGGCATATCTGGAGCTCCCATGAAACCCCTTTATAAAGCAGATACACAGTTATTTCAGATGGGGAGGCAGTTAGATGTTTAACCTTTGTTCAAAGTGGTCCCTAAAGGGCTCAGTGGAAGAGATGCGTTTCCTGAACCAATGAGTAACTAGTAGTTCTCCATGGCCACGGAGGTTAGCTCCCCAAAGACAAAGGAGCACGCAATGCTTGCAGGCCTTGCAAGGGGCCTTAAATCACACACTTCCTTTGGCAATGTCCTGACAAGTCAGCTATGTGTTGCCAGTGCCTCCTGCTCAACATTTTCTATCCCGTGGGTATCACCTTAAGTGTACGATCCACAAACAACCCGATCTTAGAAGAACAGTCACCAGGGGGCAAAACAGTGGACACCAGCACCAAGGCTATCCTTCCAAGAATCTTTACGTGCAAAGGATGGGAAGATTGCCATGTTGCCTTGTGGTTAACTCAACAGCCCAGTTTGGAAAACTTTATTTAAGAGGGCATATTAAAGAGAGACAGGGAAATCATTCTTCACATGAACCTTCTTAACTTCCAGCTCATGCCGACTCTCTTATAAAATTCCAGAGAGTCAGATTTCCCATTACAATCACTAATTTCTGTGTTGCTCTCCTGTGAGTGGTTCAGTTTGTAGACACTGGATATTGAGTTAGCATTTCAGTAGGCAGGGCAATCAGGGAGACTGCCTACCTTACACAAAACATAGCCAAGATTATTCTTCTCCTCCTCTGGTTCTTGTAAGCCTTAACCCCAGAAGCTAATCAGGACCCAACTCAACCCTGAAACCTAGTTTCTCTTCAGTAGATGAGTTTCGCACATACTGCTTTGGTGGACAGCACCAAGAGAGCACAGCAAATCAGAGTAAATTATACCTTCCGTGGACAAATCAGACTCGTGTCCATGACTTCAATCTCAGAAAGTCACGTTCAGACAGAAGAAAGCATGTCCCTCTGCCCACTAGCTCATGGCAGGAAGGCACCCAGGAAAGCCCAGGCACAGTCAGGCCCAGGACAAAACAGCAGCCTTGACAGAGGAGGGGAGCTGGTTGGCAATTCCTCATGGCATGGGCAGAGTGAGGGCATTCACAGGAAGCCAGACCCATCCTTTGGGACTCATTAACTTCAGAGAAGACTGCTCACGCTGAGCCCAAGCCAGGCCCCCAGTCACCATGGCCACCAGGTCCCGGCAAAGACAATGCCCAGGCCACTGTCATCAAACTCAGCGACTTCCTGGCCCAGCCACCCCTCCTGCTTACCAAGTCCTGAGCCAAGGAGGCCAGTTTTAGGGAAACGGCTCATCTCCAGAACCTCTGAGCGTTTCCCTATGACCACCATACTCTCGGGTCCCAGCGAGTCATGAATTGTGCAACCCAGCGTCCTCCCCGCCAGCCGCTCCGGTATGGGCACCTGCACCCCTGCCCCTCTCCTCTCACACCCCCAGACAAATCATTGTCAGTTCACACAAGAATGGCAGCTCCCTACCTGAGGGTGGCGCTCTCCCCCTGCCGGACCGTCACGTTGTCCATAGCTTTGGGGAAGGTGGCATCTCCGCTGCGCACGGGCACTCCTGTGGGTACAAGGAACAGCAGCCTGAGAGACACGACCACGAGGCACTTCCAGGGCAGGAACAGGTACCCACAGACCCCCATCCTCGACAGCCACAACTTCCCAGGACTCCGGCAGCGGCTCGGCACACGCCCCCCGGGCGAGCACAGGAAGTGGGTGGGGCGAGAGAGCGAGCACAGGGACGGCGCGGTGAACTAGCCGCGACCGAGAGGCGCGGGGAGGAGAAAAGCGCGCAGACGCCTCCAAGTCTAGTATTCCTCCCCCAAATCCAGCCTCAGAGCTCCAGCCTCGGAGAACCAGTTTCCACGGAGGACATCCGAAGGGGGCTTTCTCGGTGCTGCTTCGGCCGGGAAAGGTGGCCGAGAAAGGGGAAGCGCAAGGCAGGTGCAAAGGTGTGGGCACGCCTCAGGAGACCCTTCTTCCCGTTAACAGTTCAGACATGGCACTTCGGAGTGGAGTAAGCACTTTGGTACCAGAAGGAGACAGGGGGTCGGTTAGATCCGGCTACCCAGAGGTGGTCTGCAATTCCTCTGTTCGAACAAGGGGAAATCCAACACTTTCTCCGTAAGTTTCGGAGGAAGGATTGCCAGCAGAGAACAATCTGTAACAATAGCGGAGACGGAAAGTAGAGCACGCAGGAGGCGGCAGGGGGTGTGCGAGGAGGAGACGGCTGCGCCGGGATTCGTGCGAGGCGGACCCGGGGATCCTGCCGCAGCCGCCTGGATCAACTTCCTCGGAGCCGAAATGCGCGCCGCGACGGCTGCGATCCGGGAGCAGTCGCTGCGGCGGCGGCCGAGGCAGGAGCGGCCGGGCTGGAGCGGACCGTGGCGGCCCCCGCTCGCTCGCTCGCTCGCTCGCTGGGGAAGGCGAGGCGCAGCCAGCACCG